AAAAAAAAAAAAAAAAAAAAAAAAAAAAAAAAAAGCATGGTACTGGCACAAAAACAGACTTGGGAATCAATGGAAGAGAACACAGGAAGCAGAAACAATCCCAGGCATATTCAGCTATTTGATCTTTGCCAAAGGAATCAAAAGCATATGCTAGACGAAAGAACATATGGTGCTGGGAAAACTGGATGTCCCGTGCAGAAGATTGACTCTAGAACCATATTTGTACTAAACTAAAATCAAATGTATCAAAGATCTAAATGCTAAACCAGAAACAACCGGCTAGAAGATAAAATAGATAAAAGTCCTGCAGACATGGGCATAGACAAGGACTTCTGAACAAAACTCCAGTGGCGCAAGAATTAATACTTAGAATCAACAGATGGGATAATATCAAATTAAAAAGCTTCTACACAGCAAAGGAAACAACTAACAGAGTGAAGAGACAACCTGCAGAGTGGGAAAAAAATTTTGGCAGCTACTCTTCAGACAGGATTTACATCTAGAATATATAAAGAACTAAAAAAAAAAATTAGACCTCTCAAAAATAAAAGACTCAGTCAAAAAATGGCAAACCATAATGATTAGATACTTCTCAAAAGAAGAAGTAAAACTGGCCAATAAATACATGAAAAAATGTTCAACATTGCTGGCTATTTAGAGATACAAATTAAAACAGCATTCAGTACTATATTTCTCCAGGGGGAAAAATGACTATCAAGAAATCAAATAGGCCGGGCATGGTGGCTCATGCCTGTAATCCCAGTACTCGGGAGGCTGAGGCAGGAGGATCACTGTGAGTTCGAGACCAGTCTGAGCTACACAGTGAAGTGAGTTCCAGGTCAGTCTCAACTACATAGTGAGACTCTGTCTCAAAAAACAAATCAAATATTAGAAAATGCTGGTGAATGAATATGCAGGGAAAAAACTCTTTTTGACATTGCTGTTGGGAGTGTGAACTAGTACAATCAGCATGGAAGTTAGAATGGAGATTCTAATTCACTAAAAATATAAATTCCATGTGACCCCGCTAGTCCCCTTCAAGGTATCTTCCCAAAAGAATTAAAGACATTATATTATGGGGATACAATCCATGCTGAGAATATCGGATGATCATCTCTATTCTTTTTTTTGTTTTTTTGTTTTTTTTAACCTGGTACTGGAAACCGAACTCAGGACCTTACGTTTGTTAGGCAGGCGCAAGCGCCACTCAGCTAAATCCCCGGCTTTTTTTTTTTTTTTGTTTTTTTTTTTTTTTTTTTTTTCATTTCTAAATCTACAGGAGAGGTTAATTGAACGCTCTTGTGTTACTGACACCTCACCTACCCTTCTCATTTCATTTTCCCCACAACACTTAAGTGATTGGTGCTGTAGGTAGAGCAATTTTACAAATGAAGAATCGGGCTCAGAGAAATTAAGAAAACTGTCCCAGTAAGGCCTGGGATGTAGCTCAGTGGTGCTGCCGCCTGGCTCGCAAGCGCAAGGTCCCGAATTCTATCCCCGGTACCAAAAAAAGGAAAAGGAAGCTGTCCCAGTGTCAGGTGGTGGAGTCCCCCTGGGCTTTTAATATACTGACAACTTAAGAAGACCCTGAAAGTCTCCAGGCAAACTGTTACCATTCAGCTAGAAACCACCATCTCGCAGCGACTAGGACCGACTAGGGAACAAGGGAGTCCCGGGGAGCCCCCGACACCTGCCAACGCCCGCACACACGTGCAGCGCCCCCTGACCTCCCACCTCCTCCCAGTGATCCTCGTGGAAGCCGCCGCGGTAAGGCTGGCTCCGGAACTTGTCCAGGAACGCGTCCATGTCATTGTCGTCCGCAGCATCTGGCTGAGAGCCCTCCATAGCCGCTCGCAGGTCGCCCGCCGGGGTCCGGGGTCGAGAAGCCGGGCGGCTCCTTCCGGCGGTGCGGTGCTCTCCCCTCACTCTTCCGGGCCGGACCGTGCCAGAACGCGCGCCTTGGGTTCCGCAGTCCTAGGAGAAAGAGCGCCTGCCCGGCTCTGGCCTCTAACCAGTTCCACCCTCCGCCCGAAGTTGTTGGGGTTCGGAGTGGTGGATGAGCCTAGGCTCTGCAGAGCCCCAGCGATCTCTGCCGCTGCGTGCACTCATCCATTAGTCAGTCGGCACCATTTAGGGAGTGCCTTCTGCTTCGCACCTGTGCTGTGAGCGGGCGTGGAGTGGCGCATGAGCTTGGGCAGAAAGCGAGAGTAGCTAGAATAAGGGAAGGGCCCGGAGGTGATGATGTGGGAGGGACAAAGGACTGACTGTGAGGACCTGGTTTTCCTCTAGGTGGGGTGGAACCTTGTAGAGGTGTTTGGGCGGAGGGCGGTGTTTGTTGGGGTAGCAAGGATTGAGCCCAGGGCCTTCCCACTGAACTAATCTCAAGCCCTTTTTATTTTTTGAGGCAGGCTCTCACTAAGTCACTAAATTGTCCAGGCTGGGTTCAAACCTGTGAGTGTCCTGTCACCGCCTCCCAGGATTACAGGTGTGTCACCACACCCAGCTGGCTCAAGGAGAGTGTCAAGGGAAGGTGTGACTGGTCACATGTGACTGGTTCTCAGTTTAACCCCGGCCTCATCCTCACAGCAGAGGAAGCAGCATCCCCAGTCCATGTGAGGCAGGCGTGCTTGGATTTCTGCAACCACCTGGTCACCCAGCAGATGGCCGCAGAGTCCTGTGCAGGTGCTACAGCTTCGGGGTGCTCCTAGAGAAGCAGACAGCAGTGGGTCTACACTGGCGCTAGCCCCATACCTGCACAGTGGGGACAGAGAAAAGTGGAGTCCAGGAAGGCCTCCTGAAGAAGGTGATGCAGTTGAGAAAGGGCTCTGCGCTCAGGAGGGAACCTGGGAATTGGGTGGCCCAAGCTGGTGCACAGAGAGGCATGGAAGTGTCCAACAGCCTGGCTGGCCGGGCACCAGGTAACCTAAGCAGTGAGGCCAGTGAGGCAGGTAGGGCTAGAGGGCCTGGCTGCCCTCTTAGAGGTCTTTATCCTGCAGAGAACAGAGAGCCACTGGAAAGACCTGGAGGGAGGGAGGGAGGGAGGGTTCTGAGCCGTTTTGTTTTTTGTTTTGGGGAGGCCTGGACTGCAGCGGAGGACAAGAGGCTAAGGGGTGAGGAAACCGAGGCCAACAGTGGCACTGGCGGGCTTGGTCATCATTGGTTCAGGGATAAAGAAGAAAGGCTGAGGAGATGACAGTGAGCTTTCTGGGGCCAGAACTGTCGCTCCCTTCTAACTCTGCCATCGCAGGAGAACATGTGGCCCAAGTGCTCCCTTCCCTCTGACCTTTTGTACTCTTCCTCCTTCATCCCTGCTCCCTAACCGCGGTTCCCCTCATTATTCTGCTCTTCGACATCTGTTCCCTTCTCAAGTGCAGAGCCTATAAAGTACTTTTGCTTTTGTCTTATTGTTTTCTATCAGAACAACAGAATGCCTGAGACTTGAAAATTTACAAGGCAAGGGCTTTATTTTGGCTCATAGTTCTGGAAGCTGCCAAGTCCCAAGGGTGTAGCGCTGGCATCTTCTCAGCTTTTAGAGATGGCCTCTGTTGGCAACTGCAGGTGAGTAAGCAGGCACACGTGCAGAGACCCCAGCTTGGGCCAGTGTAGCCTCATTGTGTAACCACCCCCTCACCCAGGCCCAGACGCCTCCCTCTAGGCCCCACTCCCAACACCGATGCCTTGAGAACAAAGCTACAAAGTGAGTTTGGATGGTGACAAACCATATTCAACCGGAGCAGCTTCCATTGTTTAATTTGATTCCTACAGGAACCCTGTGAGGTAAGAACCCACTTTACAGGTACCAGTAGGGAAGGCTCAGAGAGAGGGAATGACTTGCCCAGTGCTCTCCAACCTTCCAACTCAAGGCTACTTAGCGACCTTGGCCAGCACCTGACTGAAACAGCCTCTGCTCCGAAGTCATTGGCTCTGGCTAGTGAATGCAGCAGTGTCTCTGGATAGAAAGAAGGCCTGAGAGTTGGGACATCTTTGAGGGCCACACCTTCACTGGTTCCCTCGTGTGACCTTGGGCAAGGCCCAGGCCCCCTTAAACTGTGTTAGGCTGAGTCCTCATTAGTAAAATGTAGGTGAGAGAGCCTTGGGTGAGGCTGAGAGAGGCAGTTTGCGAACATCATTGGCAATGGAAAGAATTGTGCAGATGGCTGGGCCACCGGAGGATGACTGTATGGTGAACTTCATGGGTTCCTCATCCTCAGAGGGAGCTTAGGTTAGGTGTTCCTTGGGCTTGCGTCTCCCAAGGGGGCCTCACCACACTCCCTCTCCACAGATGAATCCCAAATTGTTTCCAGCTTTTGGAAGAAGCTGGCCTCTCTTCTGAGCTCAGTGCTGTGCAGCTGTCTTAGTCTACCCAGGCAGTTATAACAGAGCGCTGTAGACTTTATAGCTTATGACCTACATTTTGTACATCTTGGGAACCTGGAAAATCCAGGGTCAAGACACTGACAGACGTGATGTGAAGCTTCACAGATACCTTTTTTTTTTTTTTTTTAAAGTGAGACAAGTTCTCACTGTGTAGTACAGACTGACCTTGAACTCGCTGTGTAGCCCAGGCTGGCCTTGAACTCATGGTGATCCTCCTGCCTCAGCCTCCTGAGTGCTGGGATTACAGGCTTGTCCACCAGGCCCAGCATCATCTTTTCACTGTGTCCTCCCCCATGACAGAAGGGATAAGCTTTCTGGAGTCTCTTTTACAAAGGTGCTAATGCCATTCATTAATCCTGAGTTGCTTTTTATTTTATCTTCCAGTACTGGGCATTGAACCCAGGGTCTTCATTCGGAGCTATATCTGCTGCTCTTTTTTTTTTTTTTTTTTTTTTTTTTTTTTTGCAGTATGTAGGATTGAACTCAGGACTTTCCAGACAGGTGTGGCACCACTGAGCCACATCTCTGGCCCTAAATTTTTTAATGTTAAGCAGAGTCTCACTAAGTGAACTTGAAATCCTCCCACCTCAGCCTTATACGCATGTGCCACCATGTCCAGCTTGTGTGTGCATTTTTTAAGGAAGTTACGAGAGTGTTTATTAGAAATAATAAGAAAAATAGCTCTTTATTTCATTTGAGTATGGCCTCAATGTGCATCCATTTAGCTATAAATGTCTCTAATTTCTCGTTCTTTATGGCTTAGTAGTACTCTGTAGTACTCCATTTTATTAAAAACCCACCTCTTTATCCAGTCTCCAGCTGATGGGCAGGTAGGCTGTTTCCAAGTTTTAGCTGTTACAAACTGTGCTGCTATAAACATGGATGCACATATATCGCTATGGTATGATGCTTTTAATTCTTTTGGGAAGACACCCAGCAGGGGAATAGTTGGGTCAAATGGGACCTCTAATCCTAGTTTTTGTAGAGGAAAGGAAAGAAGGGAAAAGAAAAAATATGAGAAAAGGTAAAAAAAACAGAAACAAAGTCTCTGTAAATAGGGAGGGGTGAAGGGGCCGAAGGGAGGGCAGGAATTGGGGGAGAAAAACAAGGACCAAGATATATCATACAAAGACACAAACCCCCAGTGATGAACGCCATCATACTGTACCCCAAAATGTACCAACAAACCCAGTGAACAAAAAACAAAACAAACAAACAACAACAACAAAAAACAGGTCTTGCATTTGGATTTCCAGGAAGGGATTCTGAAAGCGGAAATTGCAGAGTGCTTTTTTTTTTGTCCTAGTCTTACATGGATAAGCAGAGTGTGTGGGGTTTTGTAGTACAGTTTTAAAACGTCAGTTATTCAGCTGTCCAAGTTCAAAGAAAATGGGATAAAAGGAAACTGGTTATTTTGCATTTTCAATGTCCCTAGCAGACCAGCCCAGGGTAGGGAGGAGCTGTCATTTAACTTAGCACATGCAGCCCAAGTATCTTTCCTCCAAGGAAGAGTTTTTTTCTGCCCACTTTTATCCTAACTTTTTATCCATTTTTTCTGTTTTTATTTTTCAAAGCTTAACGAACTATGCAGCTTTCATTAACTCTCAACAGTGCATGTGCTATCTTCTTTTTATCTTAGGCTGCCCTCCCCTGATTGCCTGCTTCTAAACTAACTGATTGTCTATTATACTCTGTCACATTGAGATTACAGAACTCAGTTTGAGTCCTTCTGTGAGAGCTTGGTAATCGTCCAGCCTCTCACATCTGAAGCACCTTCTCACAATTTTGGTGAATTTCCAGGATCTCTCGTTCTTACCATCTCTCCACCTTCCATCTGTATAGTCGTCCATTCCCTCATCCAGTTTTGCTTTCTGTGGTTTTAGTCACCCACAGCAAACCACAAATCAAAACTATTACATAGAGGGCCGGGGATTTGGCTCAGTGGTTCCGCCACCTGCCTCGCAAACACAAGATCCTGAGTTTGATCCCCAGTACCAAACAAACAAATAAACAAACAAAAACTATCATATAGAAAATTTCAGAAATGCACGGTTTATGTGTTTTAAATTGCATGCTGTTCTAAGTTCCCATCCTTCTCTCTCTCTCTCTCTTTTATCCATTAAGTTTATTGTTACACCCTAGGCGCACAACACAATGACATTCATCATTGGGAACATTTTTTTAACATACTTTTCTCACTCACCACTAGGTTTGAGGTTAGGGCACTACCTGGACTCTTGCTGCCTCTGACTACAGTGGGACTCCATGGAGTACCAGGCTGCCTCCTTCCCCAGCACCACAGCCAGCACTAGCTGGTACCACAGCCAGTACCAGCTGCCCTCCTACTCTGCTGTGGACCTATGGGCAGAGTCCCCTAAGACTGTGCCCATGGGCCAGGGATTTAGCTCAGTGGTGCCGCTGCCTATCTCATAAGCACAAGGTCTTGAGTTCGATCCCTGGTCCCCCCAAAAAAGAGAGAGAGAGATTGTGCCCACTGGTGGGACTGCGGGCTCACAGCCATATATAAAGTGACTGTGACTGAACAGCGACAGAGTCCTGTCCAGAATGGCTGCACCAATCTACCCTCCAGCCAGCAATGCCTAGGGGCTATTGTAGCCCCAAAGGGAAGGAACTTTCTCCTTTTTCTTTTTTAAGATAGGGTCCTCTCTGACACAGCGACACCCCATAGCTGGCCTGTGCGTCTCCTCTGCCCTCCAAAGCCCCTTGCCTCCCTGCTGTGCCCTTGGTGTCTTTAATGCCCCTCATACTTCCATTAAGCCAAAACTGCTCCACTGTAGCTCTTTTGACAATGTGTTATGGGGTGTTCCTGAGCACTATAAGATGTTCACGAACACCCTGGCTTCTGGTGAGTAGACGTGGAGAGCCTTTCCACCCTCAAGCTGTAACAACCGGAAGTGCCTCCAGACACTATGAAATATTTCTTGGGGTCAAGAGCACCTTTGCTTTAGAGCCATTGCCTCAGTCTATTCCCACTGCTCAGGGCCTGGGGTTGGATCCTGTTCAGTTCTGTACCCCTGGCACCCACAGCAGGCCTGGCTGGGTTAGGAGTTCACCAATTACCGCTGGAATCAGTGGTGCCAATCGCTGGGCAAAGGCTCATGGGTAGAACTCAGGATTCTGGGATATGCCTAATGTCATGAGGTGGGAGGAGGCTCTACCTTCCTTCTTTCCTCAAAGGTCAACCAATTCATCACCTCCTTTCACTCTTGCAATGTGGAAACGGAAACTGAGATGTCCAGCGAACTTGCTGTGTGACCTTGGGCAGGCCACTCGCCTCTCTGAGCCTCAATATCTCATACAAAGTATACAAAACAACAAAACAGCCAGTGCACCTCAGTAAATGCCAATGTAGTCATCAAGGGAAAGCCACACTCCCCTCTCAGATCTGTTACACAAAGTGTGGCTGCTCAGAGCTTTGCCTGTCCCGTGAAGAAGGGCTCAGAACACCCACATGGGGCACTTATGGCGAGCCAGGAGTGCTGGTCCCTGGATCATCACTGCTTCGAGGCCATTTTCCAGGAGTTCAGGACCTGCATGATCCAGGAGCGCCGCTTGTGGGAAGTGGGCAGGTTCTCACAGCTGGGACTCCAGCAGTGCGAGGCTGCCAGGCCACCCACTGAGTCCCCACGCAGTGGCGGCCAGGAGTTCTGCCTGCAGTTGGCCAGGATGTGGTCTTGGGCCTGGGCCACATAGATGCACACACATGCCTCTGGGTCGTGCCTCAGGTCTTCCAGAGCTGCCATGGGGAAGAGAGGCCACACACTAAACTCAAATTTCCATGCCTTGGTTAGGCGCCCTCTGTTGGTCCCCCCTCAGCTCACTTTCCTCCCAGCCCTTTGTTCGTATCTTTCAAATCCTGGTTGAAAATTTGCCTCCTCTAGGAAGCCTTCCTGGCTTGCCTCAGCCTAACCTTATGCTCCCATCTGCTTCCCCCACTGAAAAATAAACTGTGCCCTCTTAAAAGTCTAAACTACTTGGGCCAGGGCCAGGGATTTAGCTCAGTGATTTCACTGCCTGCCTCGCAAGTACAAGGACCTGAGTTCGATCCCTGGTACCAGGAAAAAAAAAGTTTAAACTACTTGGGCTGAGGTGCAGCACCTACCTGGCAAGTGTGGGGCTCTGAGTTCGAGTCCCGATACCAAAAAGAAAAGTGGAAAAAAAAATCTAAACTACTTGCCAGGTGTGGGGGCAAATGCTTATAATCCCAGCACTTGGAAGGCTGGGGAAGGGGGATTGTAGCAAGTTAGAGGTCAGCCTGAGCTACATAGTGAATTTTAGGCCAGCCTGCACTACAAAGTGAGACCCTGTCTCAAAAACCCAACAAGAAACCAAAACAAAATTCTGAACTACTCACCCTACACTCCGTGGCTTCTGGGCTTGGGGTTTTTTTGGAGGGAGGGATTGGTTTTGGTTTTTTGGTTTTATGAGACAAGGTCTCCCTAGCAGTTCAGAATGTCCTTGAATTCACTAATTAGCCCAGGCTGGCCTCGAACGAACTCATGGCAAGATTTCTGCCTCAGTCTCCAGAGTGCTGGGATCACAGGCGTGTGCCACCACTCCCGGCCTGGCCTCAGTTTTGAGCCCCATTTCTTTAATGGGACTGTCACCTCCCAAAGGTGGTCTGTGGGCTCTGTGCTTTGGTCACCCCATGGTACCTCACCCTGGATTAAGACTTGCATAACTGAACGGCACTGAATACCTCCTCCTGGGCCAGGTCCCTTCCTGTCATCTACTGTGATACACACAGTCTCACTGACCCCAGAAATCCCACCAGCCCAGGGGCACATGACTCACCAACTTTCACTTCATTCATCCAATCTTCTGTCATCACCTTCTCCATGCAGGGCACCAGGAACCCTTGAGCATAACACCCCAGGGGTGAGGCCATGTGGCTCCTGCTTTCAACACCACCCACACCACCCTTGGACCAGACCTCCCCAGGGAAGGTGTCCCTGCCCTCCTGCAGCCCCTCGAGACAACACAGAAGAGGAATTTCACTTTGACCTGGGGTCAGATTCCCCAAGGGACTATGATGGTGCCACTCTGGGCTGGGCCCTGGTTTTCTACTCTGTGCCATGGGAGGGGCACCCGCCGTGGTCACAGCCTGTGCTCTGGGTCCCGAGGGGCCTGCAGTACACAAATGGGCTGTTCCTTGCCCCTCTCAAAAGCCCCTTCCTGGAGTTCTTCCTGGCACATCTCTGTTTGTCCTTAGTACTCAGCTCAGCAAGCAGCTCTTGTACAAAGTTCTTCTTCACCCCCGCCCCCCACAGGTTAGGCGCCTGTCCAGGTTCCCAGAGTATCTGAGTCCTCTCTCTGTGTATATA